TACCCGCCCGGTAACTCTTCACGTTACTACATGCTTCATGAACACCTGTAGATATCCCGACGCACATCGCTCGGTCGCCGGAGCGCTGCTCTTATATAATCGCATTGTTTTTATTACATGCACCTTACACGATAATCCGCTTTGTACGTATGTTCAGCGATCGTCACTCAAGCGGACATAACCGCCTGTCGGCCTGTCTAACTTTTCCCGTTAAACCAATACGAAAGTTCCCTTTATTTACGGAATATGCTTATACGCGCGTCGTACTTCTGGCTAAGCATTCGATTCAGAAAATCGTGAACTACTTATCGCTAAGATGAAACACTATAGTGTGTTCACTATAATATGTCCTTCCTTTACTCCATTCTTTTCTTACCAATCGCTCTTTCAGCGTGGAATATTATATATCATTCTCTTTCGATTCTATCTTCACTTCGATCGCCTCCCTCTGGAGACCCGCGAGGATCAATACTTTTCTTTTCGATGTGTACGTCGCCCATCCTTCCAAACAGTCGTTTATTTCCTGTTTGCGTATGTATTATATGTATGTATGTAATATATTGATGACGTGATGCTTTCCCTTTCCTTTTCTCCTCATAATGCTTCATCCGCTATTCACGCTATAAATTCCGCCTTTCGATTCGTTGCTGGTCCTCTTTTAACGGTTTACTTTTAAATACATCCGAATCTTTCTTCGTCATTGTTGGTTTGTTCTATAATCTCTCTTTCCTTTCTTCCTTCAACATTTATGTAAATTCCTCTATCATCCCACCCATCCTTAAAATCCTTGTTCTGCATGCTGATTTGTTATGGGTTTTTAAACATGTCATAGTTAAGTACAGAGCTTTGCCTAAGAAAATTGTATCTCCTATAACATTATCTCTCAAAAACTTCTCGTCTTCTAGTCTCTAATCATTTTCTTCATTGATTACGTGGATTATGTGGTATTTGTACTTTGCTTAAGTCCAGCTATTTAATCGAATGCAAAGCGTTCAGAATTCGTGCCTACGTTTTGTTTACGGCATTAAAAAATATGAGAACACTTCGTCTGCTTTTTAACAATCTAGCTGGTTTAAATTCTGTCAGAAATATGTATTGTACTTTGCAAGAAAGAATTTTTGCATCTCTTCATGCGCGTTGCGCAATCTTCCATATCAAACATGTTATTCCCGTGCGAAACGTAATTCGCGATTCCTTGCACGCGAATTTGCAGAAACGATTTCACCTTGTCCTTGACGAAATCGACGATATCATTTTGATGTATTGTCCTCACAAGATATACGTTGCACGTATTTTAAACAAGCAAACAAGAAAAACTGAGGGAAATTTTAATAATATTGAGATAAGATACGTACGGAGAAAGAGATTTTGCTACAACCGCAAATTGTTTGTTAATATAGTGACAGCAAAAAAATTTTGTTTGGATAGCAGAAAGATTTGTTAAAAGTATTAGCAAACTGTCATTTGCTGGATACATGGATAGCGAAATAATTTGTTTATGCCAATTGAATTTGATTGCTGTCGCAACGACGTTTCGCTACAACAGTAAAATTATTTTTCCCATGTAACAAATTTTGTTGTTGTCATTATATTAACAATTTGCTGTTCCAGCAAAACTTGATTTCTCCTCGTCATCGAAATCAGTCATCGGTAGTTTCAACTATATTCTGTGAGATAATATTTCACAATGAAGTTCAGGTCTATTGGTTGGAAAACCAATAAACTCCTCAGGTATGTCGGTTCACAGAACAAGCTAATCTTTCTTGCGTGATTTACTGACAGGATAAAGATTGGCACAAGATTCAACGTGACTTAGAAAGTTCAAAATGCTTACATTATAAAATAGTATGTCCAATAAATTATTTACTGCTGATTGTAAAAATTTACAAGAAGATATCTCGAGGAAAACATCAGCATATCGAAAAGTCAGTTAACGCTAATAACATAATCAAACGCGCTTGCAAACAGAAACTTGTCACTTCAGCTCCACTTACTATACACGGTGGACGAAGTTCATACTACTGCGATCAAAAAGTATCCGAACTTTATTTTTAAAAATCAAAATAACGATTCAATTATCAAGATTCTTATAGTCTCCTTCAAAGTAGTCCCCATTGCTTGCAACGTACCTATGCCAGCGTTTAATCCAGTCCTGGAAACATCGTTCATACGCGGCAAACGGTATGGCCTTTAGTTCACGCAGCGATTTTTCTTTGATGTCCTTAATCGATTCGAAACACTGTCCGCAAAGTGATTTTTTCAGCAAGGGGAACAGGAAAAGATCGCAAGGGACCATGTCTGGTGAATGCGGTACTTGCGGAGCGACATTCGTTGAGTTTTATGTCGGAAATTTATGCATAAATGTCGAGGCATGCGATGGTGCGTTGTCGTGATGCAAAATCCACGAGTTGGTTTCCCACAATTCCGGCCAATTTCTTACGGATTGTTTCGCGCAAACGCCTCATGACTAAATGGGTTCTCAGTGTATTCAAGGAGGCGTTTTACGACAGTTCATTAGTTAACAAGTTTCCGAGAACCTTTTTGAGAACGCGTTGCAGGCAGATTGCGAGACGGTTCTCGGTGACAATGAATTGAATAGTTCTTTCCGTTGAACGTGACGGTGCGAATGCGTTGCATTCCCGAGGTGCGCCAGAGGTACTTTCGAAGATGGAATACATCACGCGTCGAGCGGTACCGTTCGTTCGTAAAAATACCCGGAGGCTCAGTACATTCGCTCTGTTAATTTCTGTCCGTTCGGTTCATTTCGTCGAGAGGCAAGCGCGAAGAGCCGGAAGGTTACGTTCTTTTTGTCGGATTCGTAGCCCCGCCTAATCTTCGCTTAATAAACAGAGGAGCTCGTCTTCGTCACCCGATCGAAATTCGCCGGATGACATTACGTTGTAGCTGCGCGAAGCTGATATCGATTATCCTCGAATATTGAACAATGTCTCTGACGATGGAAAAATGTTTGAGTAATTCCAGCTCGGGCGAATTTTATTCCGCCAGTCTCGAACGTTGGCGTTCACACAATTACGGCGATTGTGTGTGCGCAGCTTTCGAAACTGTCAGCGCACCGTAATTGTAACACTTCATCCGACATGCCTTCAAGTTTGCCTGCTTCCATTGTCCATTTTTTTACTTTGCGTCTTTGCGCGGGCTCGTGATGTAAATCCTGATTGCGATTGCTCGTCGGAAATGGTGACGGTTGAAAGATATTCGCCTTGACCGGTGGACTGAATAAACGGTTAAGAGCGGAGAGATGGTTATCCGTTATTGGGATTCGCCTCGTGAAGAAAACCGAGAAGCCCACGTCGGAGAAAGAAAACACGGCTGTGAGAAGCCCTTCGATCGATATGCAATTACGGCTTGAGATCCGCAGGGCAATAGAGCAGCTTTACATTGTGGATAAATATTTACTGCCGTAAATAAACGAGTAGCTTCCGTTTCAAGTGCGTTCATTTGATTCGGCGAGGGAAGAAAGCACGTGAATTAAACGCGAAGAGGAAAGAGGGGGTTTCGCGTTTCGGAGGGGGTTTAATCTGTCAATTGCCATCTTATGCGATTCGACGCGACGTTATCTTGACTCGTTAAGACACACTGACGCCTGTACTATCGATTCTTAACGTTGGTGCAATTTTATTTTGTTGATAAGATTATTCGATAAGAATTACTATTAGGTACTTGCAAGTCACCTAACATCCAACATACACTGAGAAAAAGATTTCTTCGAATTTAATAAATTTTATTGCATCCAAACAAATTTCATCGTTGGTATGCATGCAAAGAAACTAATGTTTCGATTAATAAATACGATGCGTTAGACTTTTCAACGAATGTGTATCTTTATCTTAAATAAAAAAATTTGAAAGGAAAGATAATTTTCTTACAAAGAAATTATTCCTTTCGCTTTACATATTTATTGTAACCGAATAATATTTTATTTGGTTGAAAGATGTTGTTTCAAGTAAAGCGTACTTTCTGTTAAATAATCGAATTTTCTTGTATAACATCTTCAATAACATTTTTACTCAAACAAATAATATTTCGTCTATGTTGTTTCTATGCAAGAAATTTTAGTCAAATAAATAGAAATACTAAATCTAAAGAAACATTTTTCTCTGTGTACTCTCCAGACATCGCGTAATCTGGTTTTTATCTATTCAGATCGATGCAGCATGGTCTGTCTGATATACCGAAATGTTGAGGAAGTACAAAAATGAGCCGAGAAATGGATTATCTCGAAAGATGAGTTATTTTATCGGCGCAGGATCAAATTGTTGTCCGAAAGATGGCAAAAGGTTATTGATATCAACGGCCAATACTTCGATTAAGATATTATGTCATCTCATTGATATTAATAAATAAATGTCTTTAATATCATACGAATTTTTGCAACTGTTCAATAAGAGTTCGGCAAATTTCAATCGACGTGTAAGACGAATTCGTTATGCCAACATTGGATTCCGCGTCATTTACGAGAGAAAACGGAGAGAAGTGTAAAAACACGGCTAACGAGGGAATATTTCGATTTTTAACTCCATCTAATGCAAACCCGATCCTCCGTCATTATAGTCGAAAAGCGGTCGCGATAACGAAGCGCTTTTTTAATTCGTGCTACACGAGAGGCTGTTCAATAATTAGGCAATTTCCCAGAATTCGTCGGCTATTCCGATGCGAAGTTATATCGTTATCTTGCCAATTATCCCCGTACGAAGTGATTTGCGTTACTCGCAGCAGTGTTTCATTCGCATCTGCGAGTAACGAGCCGTACACGTTCGTAACATATTATCGATCGGCGAATCGTGTCAGATTCCTAACTGATACTTGCGACGACGCGGAACGGCTACGAGGAAACGTCGGCGAGACGTCGTTGCGCACTAAGAAGCGAGATAAGTTCGGCATGCGATCCTTGAAATTGGTCCTCGATGCTTGCGACTCGGAATTTTGCGGGAAACACGCGTGTACACCTTTCATGTACGCTTGTTTATTTTTGTTAACAGTCTGTGGGAATAGAAGTGCGAGTGACCAATGAGATCCCCCTTGTCTCGGCAGAAACGAGCGACGTGCAAGACACAGCACCGCCATGGACCACCACGTCGGTCCCATGTCGTACCAACCCGCCTACCCCGACAAATCCGCACTCGCAATACTTATCGCCTCACGTCCTCCACGGCCGGAACTCACTATGTTCCGCGAACGGTAAGATCTTCTCGATCGTTTATTCCGCATGCGGTGCACGCTCGTCGGTGTTTTGGAATAATCGAGAATAATCGGTAAAAACGCAGAAATCTATGAAAAAAGAGATGTGTTTCGCCTTGAAGGATATCAATGTTCCGTCCTCTATTCGGAGCATTTCAAACTTTCCGACAAAATTGAAAACCCTCTACGGTCTCGCGAGAATTGTTCGAGTCTCTCCTTTTCACACCGGAATACATCGAGCACGGGTAGTGTTTGCATTTTTAGCGTGCACTGAGAAATCCATTAATGGGCAAATTTTTGGGTTATCACAACCAAAAAATTCGTTTGCCCATAGTCAAACAAGAATTTAGTTGATTCAATTAAATGGATTCTCAGTGTGATATTGGCAAAAGTTGGAAAATGTGCTATCAGTTTTGCACGTGAATTTTCCGATCGCGCACAGATTTAACTGATGTAAGCTCTATCGGTTGCTGAACAATTCGATGTTTCCAGTGAGAAAATATAAACGTGTTTTGTATTATACGCGCACGACGAGATTGAAATTTATTATCGTCAACGTTCAATTCCAGCCGTGGTAATCCCTTCGAATCGATGTTTCCTCCACAACCACCTGCTTTCCAGGCGGCACGGTGTGTTGCTCCCGCGAGGGAGATTACGTGCACCACCATGGAAACATTAGACACACGATCTCACCCCGGAGATTTCTCTAGCGTCCGATTATTTCAGATTACTCGCGCCGAAGACGACCTATGACACTACGCATCGGTCCTCGTCTCAGTCTTCCCAGCAGGAGCACGTCCGCGCCGACGACAACGACAGACGGGGAATGGCGTACACTTGGGTAAGTCTGACGGAATCTTGCATTTTCCTATGGCTTCTACATCGCGATATAGTATGTTTCCAACACGGTAAACGCTAATGTGATATCAAGACGTGATATCACAATAAATTCTCATTTGCTCGAAACTATTTAAGGATCACTTTTTCACGCAAATCTTTCAAGTATCAAATTTCTCTTGATGCATTTCCAACCTAATCATAAGTAAAACTCTCGTAAAGATATCCATTATTTCGTACATACAAGGTGTCTGACGCAAGCCGTATACATACTTGTAGCTTAGGTCGATGTGAACAAACAAGTTCTCTACAAGTTTTGCAAATAACATGCAAAATTTTGAATTATTAATTATTGGATATCGTCCAAATTATTGGAAATTATTGGAAAATATAAAATATATATATTTATATTTAATTAAAATACATATATTTTATATATATCAAATTTTATATATATAAAATATAAAAAATATATATATTTTTTATTTTAATTAATAACTCAAAAATTTTCTTGTGTTATTTGCAAAATGACAAAGAACTTTCTTGTTCAAAGTAACCTGATCTACAAGCGTATGATAGTTTTTGTATCTAGCGACTAGTATTGAGCCTTGGAACCACGAACCTGTTGCTAGATACAACAGCTGTCATATATTTGTAGATTCGGCTAGTCTGAAGAAAAAAGTTCTGTATCATTTTGCAAATAACATGCAAATTTTTGAGTTATTAATTAAAAAAGCTTCTACACATGGCCATTTTCAACTTGGAAATTTTGCGTGGTTGTTTGTAAAATGGTAGAGGACTTTTTTGTTCACATTAACTTAAATTAGAAGTATGTGACGATTGGCATGGCTTACATCAGACAACCTGTATACAAGGTATCCGATAATTATCTCCGGATCCGTGGTGTGCAGGTGGAACGGATTAACATTAAAGGCCAAACTAGTAAGATTAGCAAAAGACCAACAATTGCAAATAAGACCGGAAAATGAAAAACCATATTGGACATAAAAAGTATCCTGCAAAAATCAATTTTGCAATAAATTGTTATAAATAAATTATTAAATCTTGGCTGTAGAACAAAACTGATTACACTAGTCGATTCCACGGAAAAAGTTGCACAAAAAATGTGTCATTTTTCTTCGTAGTGTCCTCCATTTATGCAAAAAGAAATAAATATTTTATTGAAAGTCGCTCCAGCCTAAGTTAAATCAATAAGGTTAGCAAAAAAACAATAATTGGAAGTAGAAACATAGGAAAACATTTCTGACATAAATGCAATAAAAGGACTTACAAATATTGACGAAAATGTGAAAAAAATATATTTGCAAGACTCACAAAGAAAAGCACTCTCTTTCAAATTTGCCGAAAAACAATAAAAATTTCTTATAAACCTTTTTATACAAAAAATAGTTGTAAAATTGATTTTTGTAATGTGCTTCTTATGCGATGCGGTTCTCCGTATTGGGCGTCGTTATAGATTTATGTTTGCCAGAGTCTCGATGACGAGTTCTAAATGAGTTTGATTCACGAAGACGTTGAAGATTTTTAGACAGTGTATGATAGGAAGACTCTTCGATTAGGAAGTTTTTTTCATGTAAAGATGTTGTGCAATTAAAATACTTTCATTAGCACGACTATACATATTGCATATTTGCCATTTCTTCATCAGAGTAATACGCTGATATTTTCAGCAAGATACTTTGTAACTGTCTAATCAATTAGATCCACAATTGTCGGTTGATGGCAACTGGCTGATTGCTGATGAAATCTTCTGTTATGAATTATGTATGGAAATCGAATGAGGACATTTAAAACATATTATAAACACTGAGGTAAACATGCGACATATAGAAGCCAATAAATAAATTATGATTAGCTTTCGACTTATGTTTACTAAGGTTCTTTTACTCAGTATGGCGTGTACTATCTATCTACCATATAAATATTAAATGGTTCTTTTTGAACTGTATATATCCTTAGATGTTATCTTTACATATTTAAACATTTTTTTCTTAATTTCACGATGTACATTGCTCCTTTATTATGTGGAAAAGAATCCCCTGACTTCTTTCCGACCATCGTAAACAAACGAACAAGAAAATCAGTCACTAAGAGTTTCAACATTATTCTGCGAAATGATATTTCACAGCAAAGTTTAGGTATGTCGGTTTACAGAACAACCTAATTCTAACTTTTCTTGCGTGGTTCAGTGACGGAAAATAAGGAGAACAAGTTCCAAACTTACACTATAAAATAACATCGTCAAAAAAGTTCAAAACTTACACTATAAAATAGCACTGTCAAATAAATTATTTATCGCTGATTCGTACTTTAATTTTCTCAAGAAGAAAGCTCGAGAAAGCTCCAAAAACTCCAGTCGAACGGAAAATCAAACGATGCTAATAATATAACTGAACGCGCTTGCAAACAAAAAAACTGCCACTTCAGCTCCAACTGCTGTACGCAATAAACGAAATTTATGCACTGTCCGACAAGGCTTAATTTTTTACAGCCGAGAAACACAGGTATGTCGGTTTACTCTACCTATGCCAGTTTTAGCGCTTTTCTTCTGTCATAAAGATATTAAAGATATTTCGATTCTATATTTTTACACATGTATCTTTTATACTTTGATTATTCACTTTCTTATTTAATTAGTTTGTTAGTGATAGGACACGATGACAAATTCTGGGGTCTAGTGCCACATTAAACCGTGTACGCGGAAAATTATGACACGTCCAAGGTAAAGATTGTCACGACAATCTGCAATTATTTCTCGCGTCGGACGTAAAACCCAGACGTTCACCGTGTCTTAAGTACGATATTACACCAAGTCGTTGATATAATACTCGAATATCGTTACGACGTCTCGTGACTAGTCCTTCTCCGTCGGACATAAAACTTTAACGTTCACAACGCGCTCCAAGCGCGATATAAAATCAGCCGTTATTGTGTTTTTGCGCTTTTTTTATCCGTCTTCGGTATTTTCTTTACCGTTCTCGATTAACTTCCCTTGCCGGTCGGAGCCACGGTGGATCTGCTGGAAAACAAATCCATATGTATGTTATTATCATGGTAATTTGGCTCTGTATGTCACCGTTAACATAAATTTGCATGCTTATGGCGCTCTTGACTTTGCAGACGGGCGAGCGTTGCGAATAAGCTCCGATCCATCAAGAAACCCGCCGTACGGTTGAACGAACGCGGTTAAATAACTTCGGTAATTAACGATTTTACTGTCCACCGTGGGTGAGAGAAAAACGACATGTTTAAATGTGTGCTGTGTGCCATATTTAAATCTGCAGAATGTGACCGGTGCTATTTCCCAGCGTTGTTTACGATAACCCATATCATATCTTTGCTTGCAATTCCTGCCGTACGTTTGATTCTAGCGCGCTTAATTCGCAACTCGAAACGCGAGACGAAGCGATCGGAGAATTTTCCAATAAACATTAAGCAGCTTTCGTTGCTCGAACGACGTGTCAGTTGCGCTGGCCTACCGTGGATTTGCTCGTCACTGTAATTCCGTGCTGCATTATCAGCTTCCGAGCTTCTCTCTTCATCTTATCGACAACAAAAAGAGAGAGAAAGAGAGCGTCCATCCGCGGAATTCCTGGTTATCATCGCCTCTGCTATTGTGGTAATTCAGTATGTCGGTAATTCAGTATGTTTTTCAAGTAGTACAATACTTTCCCGAGGTATATCTGGTGCTTCCAGAGCACTAGAGGACAGACCGATGTTTTCACCTTGTTTCACTGGCAGTTACCGACCGTAAGCTGCACGTTTCCATTGGTTTGCCTAAAATCGATATCCTTCGTACCGAAAGAGCCGTTTTAGTTCTCAGTTGTCGATATAAATGTTTACACCGACTAATGAATAATTTTACACGTCGGTCGCGTTTGTGCGTTTTTGCAGTTGCAATAACGAGAAAAAAATGGCTGAACTTCGTTTTCTTTCTTTTCTTCGTTCTTATCCTCGTCATTCGTCCTTTCTTTATTTCACTAGTATACCGATAGTAACTTTCGTCACTTATCCGAGGGATAAATGAAGATAAGCGAAATAAAGTAGATTAGATCCGCCATTTAGGGCAAAAACGAGAAATACAATCGCGTGGATAACGTAAAACCTCTCGGTGGATGATATAAAAGCTCCTACGGGGCAATTCTACACGCATTAGTAGCTGTTTTCAGGTTTCTCTCGCGTGTATAATGTAGAGTGCACGATACTCTTATCACAGAGATGGAGAGGTGATTGATTGATCGTACAGCATTGCGCACCTCCTCGTGGCAACTCGCGCATGTAGACCGAATCAGGGTAATCGTGACACAAAGTAATGTAACATAAATGTCACAGAATATTTTTTAACGACAGCGACAGCGTTGAAATCGTTGAAAAAAAATGACAGCTGCTTATTCAACCTTTCAGCCTTCGTTTTTGCGCTCCTGCGATCCCCGGATCACACGATTTCGGTTATATTTCCTTTCTGACAAACGTTTATACGTATTTCTCAACGCAATAAAATGTCTTTTCGGAAAGACAGCAGTATCGAACATTTCTTATCAGTTTTTGTTTTTTTTTTTCTATTAACTAAAGACTATCAAGGGGATGCTAAAATCGACGACGAACTTGATAAGCATCGATAACGTAGAGGCGATCTTTAAAATATTACGTTACCTAAATACTAATACGATGTGCTGCTATTTGTATTTCTTGCACATGTAGATCTTACGTAAATGTAAAATCTATGTGATATAAATATGAATGTGATGAATGTGCGCTATTTGGTTTTATCACGCCGAGCGCAAAATTTAATGTAAGATATAGGACACATTTTTCTGCAAACTTTTCATACATCTTTTTAGGATTCTAAATTTAATTGGAAAGTTATAAAAATGTTCTTTGAGATTCTCCCGATTGGAGTGTTGACACATCCATTATGTGAAAGCTGCAGGATTCCTGTAATTCAGATAAATATTTACGTTAGCTAGAAATATCAATTTTGAACTTTTGAATCATCTTCGTCACGTATTGAACAACGATTCGTTTTTGCGTGTACGTTCACTGTGTAAAAACGTTTATAATTTTATGCAGCTAATAGAACGTGTAAACCTTTGCGGATAGAAATTGGTATTTTGCCAGTTAAGTTTTCAAATACGGCAACCCTCTCAATATTCCTATTAAAAATATACATAGAAGAACATAGAGAAAGGATAAATATACAAAAGTCGAGATATTAGAAAACTTCTAAAACCTCGATTTCGAGTCTTTATCTCATATACATAAATGGTACGCTCAAATAGTTACAATATTCGCTTGAACATCGATGCGAGACTGTGTTTTTTGGCATTAATCGAGTAACTTGCCATTCGTTCTCTCTCGAAGAAACGAATCGACAATGCGTTTGGCGTTGATGTATCCCTCTATAAGCGCATAATATTATTTAATATTAAATAATATTTATGGAATATTAATAGATAGTTATATATCTACTCCTAATAATATTAAAAAATATAATATTTAATGTTATTGTAATATTATATATTATTTAAATATTCAATTTTATGTATATACAATATATATAATTATAGTTTTTTTTATTTCAAATGTATTGCAGTATCAATAGTTTTATTATATAAATAAATAAAGTCGAAATAATTTTGTATGTAAAAATACGTTATATACTAAAAAATTATATATATATNTATTTATATATATATTTTTATATTATCATTATTTTTTAAATATTCTAAGAACATTTTTTCTAATGTGCAAGAAATATTATATGAAGTGGACATATAACATCAATAGAACATTCTTGCAATATTAAAAAAAAATATTACATAACATTCTTAGAATATTATAGGAATATTATTTTAACGTCTAATAATATTTACGTAATATTCTAGGAATATTACGCGCTTGTAGGGTCCTCTCTGACGCGCCTCTCGACGGTGCTCTCGTTTAGCCCCGTGTCACGATTACCCTGATCGATCGAATCGCACACCGAC